ACTTGGCGCCGGTGACCCCTTGCGCGGCGCGCACCGACTCGAAGAAGGGGTGCTTGAGCAGCGCGCGCGCGGGGGGCCGTGCGTCGCGCGGCAGCAGGCACAGGTTGATCAGCGCGGAGGAGGGGGGCCCGGGGGCACCTTCTGCAGACCCGCGGGCCGCACGCCCAGCGACACCTTGCGGTAGATCTGGGCCGCGTTCTTGCACTCCGCATAGGGGTACTCCAGCGTGCTCAGCTCCAGCAGGCACATGCCGAAGGAGTAGACGTCCACGCGGTCGTCGTACTCCTCCTCGTACAGCTCGGGGGCCATGAACTCTGGCGTGCCCAGCACCGACTGGGGCGCGGTGCGGGAGCGGAGCAGCGTGGCCAGGCCCAGGTCGCCGATCTTGACCACGCCGTCGGAGCCGTTGATGAAGATGTTGTCGCACTTGAGGTCGCGGTGGATGATGGGCGGGTTGTGGCCGTGCAGGTAGACCAGGCCGCACAGGATCTGCCAGGCCCAGCCCTTGAGCACCTCGGGGTCGGTGTGGCGGTGCCGGCGCCGGTACTGGCGCAGCGTGCCGCTGGTGAACAGCTCGGTGATGAAGTTGATGGTGCCGGCGCGGGGGTCGTACCACGAATCGCTGAAGGACATGATGTTCTTGTGCTTCAGCGCCTTGAGCACGCGCACCTCGGCGAAGATGCGCTCACGTTCCTCCCGGTTCTCCGCGTCCTTGTTGTTCATGAACTCCATGCCGCGGACCTGGTTCCAGGCCAGCTCGATGCCTGCATTTGTGGGTATTTTTTTTTTTTGGGGGGGGGGGGGATTTGGTGTGTGGGGGATGGAACCCTTTGTGCTGCCCCGGGGATCTGGGCATGCGGAGCACAGGGCACGCCGGCGAGCGCACTCCATGATCGCCGCCGTCCCAGCCCCCTCCACGCGCCCCTCCCCCATTGCTCACCCTCCTGGGTGTCAAAGGCCTTGTACACCACCTTGCAGGCCCCGCGCCCCAGGACCTGATCGAACTGCGGTATGCAGAGGGGGCGGCAGGCCTGGGGTCCTGCGCGTGGAGTATGCATCCCCACCCTGGGAACCCTGCCCTCATCGGGACACCCCCTTCCCATCCCCCGCATTTAAAGTGGGACAGCCCATGCCCTGCGCCCAGCCTCCGCCCCCCTGGACCACTCACCCTGCCATATCTCCCGCTGGGGTCCATCTCCGCGAACGTTGGGCCGTCGTAGTCGCTGTCGGGGGGCTCCACCCCGGACTGGGCCACATCTCCGGAGGCAGGGTGCTCCGTGAGGCTGCCCTCCGCCATGACGCCGGGCCTCCGCGGAGAGGCCGTGAGGATACCGATCACGCTATTCCGCGCAAGCGAGGGCGACATGCGCGGGCTGGGATAGGGTGTAACAGTCTGGGCAGAACGCCATGACGCTCCTGGTAGGGGACCGGCCGCGGGCTCGCGCTGGGATTCCAAAGGGTTCCTCTAATGGAAGATATGCTCTTTGGCAAGCAGCGGGACCCAGAAGGCACTGTCGCTGAACGCGCCGGGTGACGGAAACGTAGTTACCCGTCAACTCCAACAGCGCTCCCAAGATTCTGCCCCGGCTAGAGGGGACTCCAATCCCGTTCAAGTCTCATCCAAGAATTGCCACAAGCCGTCAGCTCTGGCCGATTCGCTACCTGTGCGGGCACAAGTCCGGGACCCACCAGCAGGTAGGGGTTCGCTCCTTGCCAAAACGGTAAGGCGGCCCCGGGACGAACGCTGGGCCCCGGGGGACAGATCGCGTCTGCGGTTCGGGCGCCGAGGGGGGCGTGGAGGCACCTTAACATTCACAATTTTGCCCCAAATCCGCCGGAAGCATCTGTTGAGAACCTTAAGAGCTTGAAATTGCTCACAGAAGGAGTCAGCTGCTCCGAGAATCCAGTCAGGCTGGTCTGACGCTCGCCCTGGTTCCCCTGCGATGACAGTGCTGGGTGGCCTGGCGAGCCTCCTCGGGCGCGGGAGGCGGGTCACGCGGACTGGATTCACGCAGCTCACGTCAAAGAATGGACCTCGTAATTTCTATAAGGGAAAGGGCTGTCTTCCGACGGGGCAGCATACCAAGAAAGGTGTGACCCCGTCAGGAGGGGGTCGTTGGGGGTGGTGAGGGATGCATCTCAGAGACGTATTGTATAGAAGCAGACACGACGGTAGCAACATCTCAAGTTCCCCATGCCAACAGGCGGATACGTCCAGCAAGCATGGCGGATGCCTGAGATTCTGGTCCCAGACCTCAGCAAGTTCAATGTAGGTGATCCGGGCGGGGAGGCTCGATGGTGCAGTCAAGGGACCCCTCACACATTCGAATGGCTTTACCAGATATGGCAGGCAGCATCTAACACCTGGTGTCCTCCACTCCCTGCTCCCACCCCTGTGCAGCTGAAGCCCTACGTAGCGGTGTCTATCTCACCCGTTTCCAAGTAGCCCTTCTCATCTAAATATCGGCCCTGCCTCAGCTTGAGTGACTGCCGAGCCGCTTCTCCTCTCTACATGAACACCTTTTCATACCGAAATGAATTGCTTGAATTGACGTGTCTGTGGAGTGTTTGCGTGGTGTAAAACCTGACAGAGTTGGAAGAGGGTTGTACAGGGGGAGACATGAGATTGCAGAGGTAGCAGGCTTGATGCTCACATTTAAGGCACACATCTGGGATGCACTGCATTCAAACCACCTCGAGCACGCAAGGTTAGAGTGTGGGTTCGATTACCATTCTGTGCCTTAACATCCTGCATTGACCCAGTGATGTGTCTACGAAAGCCGCGTGTCCCTGTCACGCATGGACACCCTGCAAGTTGGGCTCTCCATGCATTTACCGCTGCATGATCCTCGACCCATACTCCAGGCTATGGCTATGGGCTAATTTAGATATGACCTCGAGCGCAGGACCCCCTGCTCGACTGCTGGAGTGATCTCCCAACCCTGCGCACGACTCGCCGCGACTGCCATCGGCGTAGTGGCCGGACTGGACCCTTCATTCCTGGTCTAGACTCCCTATCACAAACCCCTCGATGCTGCGCTGGGCTGCCGCTCGCGGCTGGCTCTTGGCCCGAGCCCAGCCCAGCGCCGAGTGTGCCTGGCGGGCCTTCTCCACCCCTGCCGCCCCTGCAGCGGCGGCAGCGACGGGGGCGCACGCCGCCATCCCCCGCCCCGCCCCCACCCTGTCCCGGCGGGTGCGCCAGCTCATGCGGGAGTACCGCCAGCTGTCCAAGGCCCGGCTCAGCGCGCTGGTGGTGGCCACCTCTGGCGCGGGGTATGTGGGCGCCAGCGGCGCCGCCGTCGACTGGCCCGGCCTGGGCTGGACGGTGGCGGGGACCGCGCTGTGCGCGGCCTCGGCCAACGCCCTGAACCAGGTGTACGAGGTGGCCACCGACCGCCTCATGCGCCGCACCGCGGCGCGGCCGCTGCCCTCGGGGCGCATGGGCCGAGGCCACGCCCTGGCCTTTGCCGCCGCCACCGGCCTGGCCGGCGTGGGCTTGCTGGCCGCCAAGACCAACGGCCTGACCGCCGGGCTGGGCGCGGGCAACATCGTGCTGTACGCCGGGGTCTACACGCCACTCAAAGTCGTGTCGGTGGCCAACACCTGGGTCGGTGCGGCAGTCGGGGCGGTCCCTCCGCTCATGGGCTGGGCGGCGGCGTCCGGGGGTTTGGACGTGGGAGCCGCCATCCTGGCCCTCGGCCTCTACTTCTGGCAGCTCCCCCACTTCATGGCCATCGCCTGGCTCTCCAGGTGTGTTTGAGGGGAGAAGGGGGGGCGACACCTTCGAAGGAGGGATGTGACTATGGGGTAGGGTGCGCTGGAGGCTGGCCCCTGGTCTCGGAGGGCGGCGATCAGGACCTAGGAGGCATGGCTTTGGAGGGGAGCAGCGCTGGCGCGGCGCCTTTTCTCTGATCCACCTCACCTACCCCTATGCATCTTCCCCCGGCCCGCTGCATCCGCAAGTGACACAGGCACACCCCACACATCACCATCCAACCCCTTCCAATCTCAACACCCCCAAACATGCCAGGGCGGACTACGCGGCAGGGGGCCACCGCATGCTGTCCTTGCTGGACCCGACAGGGAAGCGAGTCGCGGCCTGCGCCCTGCGCAACTGCTTCTACCTCTTCCCCCTGGGCATCCTGGCGGCCTGGCTGGGCGTCACCTCCCCCTACTTTGCCTACGAGTCGGGTGGGTATTTGGGAAGGGAGGAAGGCGGGTGAGGCGAGACGTGCTGTGTCCTACGTCATGGCAGTCTGAGCAGGGGAAAGGGAGTCCGGGCGCAGGTTACAAGTGCCGTTCATGTCATCCCCCCTAGCAAAGAGCTCGCTGGAACACCTCCGCAGAGTCCTTCCGCTCGTCACCGTTCCTCAACCTCCTACATACACTCTCACAAACCTCACAGCCTTCGTGACGGCGGGCATGACGCTGTGCGCCGCCAAGTTCACGTCCTCCCCCACCACCGCCAACGCGCGGCTCCTGCTGCGAGCCTCCCTGCTCCACCTCCCCATCTTCATGGGTGCCTTCCTGCTCCACCGCCAGCCCAACACCAGCCAAGATCGTCCGGGCCTGCTCTGGGACCAGGCCACACGGCTGGGACTGGCCAGGGCACGCACGGAGGGCGAGGGCGTGGCCAGCACAGCGTGGGCTGGTGAGCGGGGGTTGGCTGGTGATTGCTGGGCTGGGGCGGCTGGGGCGCATGGGAAGGGGCCGTGGAGACCAAGCCGAGATTTTGCGTGCCGTCGTGCCGCACTGAGCCCGTCCATCGCCGCCGCCCATGTGACCCCCACCCACACTACCCTCGCCCAGGCTCGACGGCGCCGAGGGCCAGCCTCTTCGGCTGGCGCATGGACGAGGAGGGCGTGGCCCCGCCCGTGTCGCTGATGGTGGCCCCGCGGATCGGGGGCTTGCCGTCCCTTAGGTGCCCCTCCGTGGCCCTCGCCCAGGGGACCGGGAGCGAAGACCGGGCAGGGGACGACAAGGAGAAGCTGCGATAGCCCTGGGCGCTTTGGTGGCCGACCCCTCATCCATGTGCTCCCCACACTCCTCTCTACCCCAATTACTCCTTGAAGAATTCCCCACTTGAATGCCTGGCCCGCAGAGTACTTGTGTACAACATGATATCGAGGACAGGAGTGTTGGCACCTGGGATGCTCGGGTGCTCGTCCTGATGACGCTGCATTGTGCCATGGACAAGAGCCCCAGGGCAGCACCGCACTCGGCAAAGCCCACACCGACCCACCGTACAAACACCCCACACCAGCCCCTCAAATGAGGGGCAGCTGCATGGTGCCCAGCTTGTCTGCCAGGGCCACATGCGCGCGTATGAGGTTAGAAAAGTAGAGGGTCAGCAGCACGTCGTTCTGGCTGCTGGACAGCGCCTCCTCGAATTCATGGGCCGGGAAGCGCGGCACCGCTGCCACGGCGTCCGCCAGCGCCCGACCGACAGCCACGTTACCGGGCGTCTTGCCCGCCTGCGGGTCGAAGAGGAGGGTGAAGGACTCGGTGCGTGAATGGAGTGCAGACGGGTGCGGTGTGGAGGAATGTCAGTAGAAGTAGCGAGGAACGCTGACGGGAGCGGTGCGCAGCGCTGAAGCTGCGCCATGTCTTCCAATGGCCCAAGGCTTACGTGTGGGTGCTGTGGCCAGCGCCTGCATGCATCCGTCTCCCTTTCCCCACCCCTGAAACACGCAAACAACTGGTCCCCCATTCCACCACCCACCACGACGGCGTCGACGTAGGCGGCAGCGGTGGAGAGCGCGGCGCGCAGGCGGTGCAGCGCCTCCACCACCTCCTCCTCCTCCTCCTGGGCCCCCAGCCTCGTCTCCTCCGTGGCCAGCAGGTCGGTGCCCAGCTGCTCCAGGTCGGTGGAGGTGATGCGGCAGGCCACCTCTTGGAACTCTCGCGCCAGCTCGCGGCCCTGGATGGAAAGCGCGCGCGAGGCGTGCGCACGCACGGCCAGCGCGCCGTCGCGGAGGCTGGTGTCCACGGTGAGCAGCGCCGGGCTGGCGCACTCGTTGGCGTAGAAGGACTGGATGAGGGCGTCGGAGCCGGACACCTCGGCGTGGGTGGAGAACCAGCCCACGATCTGCTCGCGCGGGTTGACCTTCTGCTGCAGCGCCGCCATGGTCTGGTGGTGCTGCACGTCAAGCGCCACCTGTGGCAGGGAAGAAGGGGGGTGGGGGTGTCATGAGGCCACGAGAAGGTGTCACTGAGATGAAACGAGGTATTTACTGCAAAAATTTGGATGAAAAGGGTGAGGAAGATGATCCTCATCAGTGGATGGGGGCTGAAACGCCCGGCAGTGCCAGCAGTTACCTGTGCCCACCAATGGTCTCACCCACCTCAACAACGATCCCAAAACATCCAAGCATCCTCACACCGCACCTGGTCGTTGTTCTCGCTGTGGGGTACGGCGTAGCAGCTCCGCACGTCAATGATGCCGTCAGACACCGTGCCCAGCAGGGTGCCGATCACGCGCTTCTGTCCTTGGTTGCGCCGAATGTAGGCATCGCAGATTGTAAACAGGACCACGGGGTGCACCTGCACGGTGGACTCGGTGAAGCCCAGCGGGAGCGTCAAGGGCGCCACCATGACACCCTGATCCCCTGTGACGGCAGCAGCTGCGAGCGGAGTTGCGCGACGCTAATTCGATTGGCTCTACACGCAAGCCTTCTTGTTTCCACACACGGCATATGGTATGGGCATGGCCCATTCGACGGTGCAGGAGGGTCCGGGAGAGTGGCTCACTCCGCGCCTCGGCAATTCACGAGCGGAGCATTCTGCAGTACCTCCAGGCGGCTGCGTGGCGGGGTACGCGCTGGAGTGAACCGATTCCCTATCACTCAGGTGTCTACATGAAGCACAGCACTGCGAGCCTGAAGGTGCTCGGGGCTGGAGACTCGTAGCAGGGAGCTCCACGCTGTGCGTGGGTGCTCCGGGTCATGCTGTGCTGACGCCAAGCTGAGATGACCGGCTCATGCAGGTCCGCATGGCGGCCTGCCAGACTTATTGTGACTGGGAGCGGCCTTCAGGCCAGCCCCAGATCCTGAGCGGATGGCGATGGTGCGACTCCGCCCTTCTCGCTTCCCGCAGGCTGCTTGGCGTCGGCCTGCGCCGCCTCCTCGCTCCCAACATACCCGGCAAGGACTGTGACGGCGCCGATCCATTGCCGCAGCATGGTGGCGAAGAAGAGGGCCATGATGGGGAGGGTCTTGGGGAGCTGGCCGCCACTGCAAAGGGTGGTAATGTTGGAATGTGGTCGTTGATATCGGTGTGAGGTGTGAGATGCGGCCGTGAGGTGGGGCCTGAACCATAGGGATGTCCGGGGGGTATGGAATTCTTCTCGCTGATGCAAGAGATAACTTTCACATCAGACATCCAGTGCACCCAATCCAGCATCGACCAGGAGATACCAAACATTCATGAATGGCCATCCTGCAGTCCTCCCCCTCTCACCTGAGGAGCAGCAGCGTTTGTTGGAGCAGGCTGCTCGCCGACTTCCCGGACTGGGCCCCCACCACATCGATGGCTGCCTTGCCTGTGCATAGAGGTGGAGCGTTTGATGTGAAACCTGCCAGCCATGAGCCATGTCTGCCCGGCTCTGCCGTAAGGAGAATGGGAAGAGCGGCCGTCTGGGGCTCCTGCACCGCCGTGGCACGTGGTTGCCAAGCAGACGGGAGGCTCCCTGACAGCAGGGGGGACCCATGGCTGCCCTCGTCACCTTTGCTGCGCGACTCGTCGTCCAGCCCGATGTACACCATCTCCTCCGCGGGCTTGAACAGCGAGAACTTGGCCCCCTTGACCAGCACCTGGAGCAGGGCTCCCACGCATGACCAGCGTCTTCAGGGCCATCGGCCCATTCAGGGTGCCTGCTTGGGGAATGCGGGGTGTGCAGGGTTTGCTTTGGGGAGAAAGCACGGAGACCAGCCTCCCACAAAACATTAAACACACCCCCGACTCCCCACGGCCACCTCGCCACCCCTTCTGCCCCGCCCCCCCCCCCCCCTTAACGCCCCCCCCAGCCCCCCTCTCCACACCTGACAGCCAGAAGTTGTAACCGATGCAGCCCAGGAAGAAGGGGGTGCCGGCATAGAGCATGAGGCGAGGCGTGGTCTTGGCCACGCCCTCCCAGCCCAGGCGCGCGAAGAGGGTGGGCGACAGGAGCATGAGCGACCCCGTCACGATGCCGGTCCACATGGCGGTGTCTCCCAGGATGGCAGAGTAGGCCGCGGGAGTGGTGGCCAGGCGGTGCAGGTGGTGCTTCCATGCCAGGTCCAGGAGGTTCGAGGTGATGCCCTGGGACGTGTGGGAAGGAGGGTGGGACGAGGGTGGGGGACGAGGGAAGGGGCGTCGGAGGCTGGACATGCGTGGGAGGACTGATGGGTGTGGGGTTTGTAGGAGTGGGCATGGCAGATCCAGGCCCCACGATCAGGGCATGAGGCGGAGATGGCGTGCCGAGGGGAGTCTTGCAATGGTACAGCATCTCCCCGTCAGACCCACCCATTTCCTTCCCTCCTCAACCCCAGCCCATGCAATCAATCTTACGCCCTGCCCACTCTCTCGCGCGGTCCCCGCCCCCCCCTTCCCCCCTTCCTCGAATACACACACCTGGCTGATGGCCAAGAGGGCCAGGCACCGGATCTGCGGCGACTGGCGCAGGAAGTGCCAGGCCTGGCCCAGCGACATGGCCGCCGGCGAGCCGCCCCCTGCCCCCCGCGCCGCCCTCCTCGTCCGAGGACGAGTCGCCCGGGGCGGGGTCTTCGAAGGTGGCGACAGCGCGCGCCCCCGCCGGCGGCGGCGGCGCGTGACTGGCCCTGAACCGCGCCGCGATCCAGCTCTGCAGCGCCATGATGGCGAGGCACAGGCCGCAGCACAGCCCCAGCATGGCCTGCAGCCGGGCCGCGTAGCCGGCGCGCGCGCGCGCCGCGCCGGAGAAGGCCAGGCGCATTGTGCGCCCCGCCAGCGTCTGCGCGATGTTGGCCCCGATGCCGAACAGCGGGTACAGGACGGGGGCTTCGGCCATGGAGGTAGTCTCGTTGGCCAGGCCCCAGAAGAGCAGGCTGAGGCAGACGTCGCCCCACAGCTCCGAGGCGCAGTAGAAGAGGGTGAACATCCAGTTGCGCAGCATGCCCACGCCGCCCGCCAGCCCCAGCGGGAGCCGGGGGCCGAGCCAGGCGGCCAGCGGGCCGAGGTGCAGGGATTCGTGGACCGGGTAGAACAGCGCAAACCTGGGAGGCGGGAGGGGTTTGCGGGGGGCGGTGGTGTGTGTGTGTGGCGGGGGGCGGAGCGGCGGAGGAGCGGAGGCGGTGGAGCCGTGCATGCGTGCGAGACAGAGAGGCATCTGGATCTGAGCAGGCGCGAGGGGTAGGCAGCTGAGGCGGGGGGGGGGCGTCATGCGAGGGCGGGGTCCAGGCAGCACCAGGGCGGCGGCGGCGAGCCCATAACCGCTGTGAGCTCCCAGGATCCCAGAAAACTGGCTCGTACCCACCCGCCCAGGAAGCAGAGGAAGCAGGAGATGGTGATGTTGAACAGGTGGCGGCGCGCCAGTCGCTGGGTGCCCCACGAAAAGGCGAGGAGGAAGGCAAAGGAGGCCGGCAGCACGCCATAGACTGGGAAGGGTTTGGGTGGGGAGAAACCGTGGGGCTGGCTGCTCGCAGGGTGCTGATGCAGGGCGCATGCCATGCAGGCCGGGGGGGGCAGGGGCATGGCGACTCGTGCTGACCGCTCGGAGCCCCACCTCAGCCTCGACCACGCCCCGCGTCGCCACCCACCTGTGATGAAGGGGATGACCTGTGTCCCCCCGCCGACCGCGGTGATGACCAATGTGTCCTTCAGCGTGTCCATCACGGTGTTGACAAAGGCCATGAGGAAGAAGAGGGTGGCCATGGGTAGGAACCTGGCGGGAGTGGGGGAGGAGGGGCAGTCAGATCCAACTTCCAGGGCGGCGCACCTGTGACAATGGAGCAGCGAGTCGGTCTTTGCCGATCCACCGGCGGGCGCCGAGCTGCAGGTCGAAATGCGAAGGGCTCCTCTGCTTCCTGATCTGCCACCCCCAGACTCACTTCCTCCACAGGCTCAGGAGCTTGGGCCGGGCAGGTGCAGGAGCGCGGTAGCTCTCAGGCGGCAGCGCACCATTGGAGGCACCCTGACTCGATGCAGCCGGGGTCGCAGGCCGGGCCGGCCGGCCACCAGCGCTGCCGGGGCCTGTGCAGAGGCGCCAGGGCGCACTCCTTGCATTTTGAGGCAGCCTCGAGTCAAGCCAGGTGCCTGGGCCTCGGAGGGGCTTGCTGCTGCTGAACGGTCCCGATGTGCATCGCGGCACTGTGGCCGCGCGGCGGCCCAGCGCACACGGCCTGACCCTGTGATTGATTGGGAGGCACAGGATCCAGCTTCTACCTGCTACGCCCCTCCTTGGGGTCCCCTGGTCTGCATGCCCATGCAGAAACCCTACAGCAGGATGGGACAGGCACAGGCGGCCGAGACACAGCAGCTGACATGGTACCTGAGCAGGCTCGGGCCCGTCGTGAGAGCGGATGATGCCATGATATTCGTCACAACAATTCCTCCATTTCAGCGAGGTTGTGAGCCCAGTGAGGGCTGTGCCCGCGGAGGGAGCTCGGGTGTCAGGTGTGAGTGGCTTGGCCGACAGCCTGGAGGCGAGGAGCAGAAAGTGGGTGCATGCGTTGGCAGCCAATGTCCTCTTCGTCCAGACCCCGCTCACGTCAAAGGAGGAGCTGCTGTACACCGCGAACTGCCCTCCTCTCCAGTGTGGAGGCATGGTGAGTTCGAGCGCGGTGGGGTGGGATGCGAGGCCCTGGCTTTGCTGAGCTGGCGCCTCGGCAGAGCGAGTGGAGGGGTGGTGAGGATCTGCGTTTCATAGCGTCACTGAGGGATTCTGCATCTAAGACACAACATTTAACCCGCAGACAGGCATCTAGGAGGACCTGCTGCGTGTGGATGCCAGGCGCATCCCGGCGGGATGCAGATGGACACAGGGGATGGCCCCTCACGACGAGGTGGTCGAGGGCCACGCCGAGGGGGAAATCGCCCCCCACAATCCACTGGCCGGCACAATGATCAGTATAGCAATAACAGACCCGATAACTATCAAGGTACGAGCGGTGCTGCCCTGCGGCACTGTGCGCTTGCGTGATGCTGGGCACCTTGCTCACTGTTCCTGCAATTCATCCGTTCCAAGCACAGGCGGAACGAGTGGGAGACAGAACGACACATACTACAACTCTGGATACCAAGATCAGTACCACCAAGGCTGGCAGAACGGGAGAGGGCGGGGCCGAGGCTACTTCGGAGGTGTGCCTGGGTGTGTGTCAGGAGGGGGTGCTACCTCTTGCTTTGCAGATACACAGCCGTGCAGGTGGGGTGCACGAAATCCCTTCCTTGCTCCCACAACCTGTGTCGTGCTTCCGTTTGTCACAGGCCGAGGCTCGCAGAACCCCGGCTACCAGCAGCAGCAAGGCTACAGCAGCAACCGGGGGGGCAGGGGCCGGGGGCGCGGTCGGAGTCAGCCTGGCCAGTCCCAGCCTGCCCCTGAGCCCCTCCCAGACGACGTGGAGTTCCTGGCCGAGCTGAAGGGGCACACAGGCAAGGTCACAGTGGTGGCCATGGATCAAGGGTCGGGCCAGCTCTTCACAGGCAGCCACGATGGGACCGTTCGGGTCTGGAGTTGTGCTTCAGGGGAGGTGCGTGACCGCAGGGGTCAGGGGTGGAAAGTGAGTGGATGAATGTGGCGGTGCGTGTGTGGAGGGCAGGGCACATCCATCCTGTGGCCGTCTGGACCGCAGCATCGGCGGGATGCTGTGGTGGAATCGCTTGCCCTGGGGCGGAGATGCCCGTTTCGCATGCACTGCCTCATGGCAAGTACAACTACAATCGTCTGTGCAGTGCGTCAGCACGGTGGATGTGGGCGGCGAGGTGGACTCTCTCCTGCTGGAGGCTGGATTCTTGTTCGTGGGGATCAAGACCCCTGCCAACCAGGGCCAGATCAAGGCCTGGAACATGTCCACCAACCAGGAGACCGTGCTCGAAGGCCACACGGTGAGCCTGGGCGGTCATGAGGAGGGGAGAGACTCTGGAGGCAGTGGGGCCGGTGACAGAAGTGCAGCACTGGGCTTGTTCGAGTACGGCAGAGGGGACGAGAAACGTGCAGAGGAGGGTGACTGTTGCTGCGTGTATGCAACTGTCGTCGTGGACGTGCAAAGCTTTGTTCCAGGCCCGACCCAGTTTGCCCAGATCCAGTTACTGGCATGCTTGGCATCCTCTGCCGCTGCCCGACATGCGCACGCCACTGCTCAGATCGAAAACTCTGAGCTGCCACAGGCTCCTCAACCCCCTGTCGACCCAGAGCCAACCCTCGGCGCCCCACTGCCCACACTCTCCCAGGGTCAAGTCCTGTCCCTGGCGGCCGCGGGCGGGATGCTCTTCTCCGGCGCCCAGGACGCCACAATCCGGGTGTGGAAGCCCAGCCCCCTCGCCGGCTTCGAGTGCAGTGCTGTGCTGCGGGCCGACGGCGGTGGGCATTCGTCCCCGGTCAGCTGCCTCTGTGCCTCCGGGCCGTACCTCTTCTCCGCAGACTTCAAGGGCAATATCAAGGCACGCGAGTGGCATGTTGGAGTGGGCGGGTGGCGCGGCTTCCCATGTCCAGTGCCCGGGGAATGGTGTGTAAGGGGTAGGCAAGCCGATGTTGGACAACTTCCTGGGCCCATGCTTTGACGTAGTGTGCGTCTCCGGCAGCCAGCTCATCCCCCACCTACTGCAACCACCTGGCCAAGCAGTGGCTGGCCGGGCGCAGCAGGCGCCCTCCCACACCCTCGCCGCGTCCAATCCATGCACACCCAAGCACTGCCATGGATCACCCCAGTCCCACCCCGCAATCCCCCACCCCCGCCTCCATCCCAGGTCTGGGACGTGACTGCCGGCGTGCTGCGCCAGGCCGTGGACCGCGCGCACTCGGGCGCCGCGCTGGCGGCCATCACGGACCTCTTCGTCTGGCAGAACTGCCTCTTCTCCGGATCCCTGGACGGGTGCATCAAGGTGTGGGAACCCTGCCCAGACCCCTCGGCGGTGATCAACGCCGCGCCCTCCTTCGTCTTCCCGGACGCGGCGGAGGGCGGCGCGGCGGCGAGGTCGCCCACGGGGCCGCGGCCGCGCCCCGGCGGGCCGGCCCCCGCCCTGCCCGGCATCCTGGCCCTGGCGGGGCTGACCGACCCGGCGGGGCGGGCGGTGCTCATGGTCTCCTACAACGGCGAGCCCGTCATCCGGCTCTGGGAGCTGCCCTCCTTCGAGGGGCGGGGGGTCCTGTCCGGGGTGAAGAACGTGCGCGCCATGACCGGGTACAGCGCCGGGAACCTGCTGCTCTCCGGCGACGAGCGGGGGCAGGTGAAGATCTGGAGGTGGCGCGAGCTGCCCCAGGCCAACGCCGGGGCCTTCTGAATGGGGTCTCCGGTGGCAGCCTCCCCTCCTGCTCGGCCTCGCCGGGCCTGATGAACATCCTCCGGGCCGTGCCCTGTACACGCTCGTGCCTGCCCACCCATGCCCCCGGGACCATGCACGGTGCCTGCTGCTGCTGCTGAGGACTGTGCAAGGAAAGCTTGCCAACAGGGCGACAGGCATGGGCGCACAAGGGGTATGCATTCAGGCAGGGGAAGGGAGTGAGCACCGGGGCCCGTGTCCCAGCCAGCGGCCCTGGTGGGACCACCCAGGAGCTCTCTTGCGGGTTCCAGCTTGGATATCCGGGGAGGGGTCTGGAAAGCTCCAGCACGATCCACAGGCCCCACCTGGCCAGGAGGGTGCCCTCCAGCCCTCATGCCTCCTCTGGCCTCGCCACGACGGCCACGCCCATGGCCCTGCAGGTGCCGACCAGGGACTTGCAGACAGACTTGAGAGGGATGTGCGGCACATCGGCCTGCTTTGCCAGTGCGATCTCGTAGATGTGCTTCAGCGAGATCGTGCCTGCCACATCGTGCCCGGGCTTCTGGCTCCCCGACTCCAATCCAGCTGCCTTCTTGATGAAGTAGGAGGCTGGCGGCGTCTTCATGACCTGCATCGGATGGTGGAGGGGTTGGACATCCCTGGGTCGAATCCCAACAAGCTTGGCAAGGGCCAAGGGGGGCACCCGCATGCACGCAGGGGGGCGGCTGCCCGAGCGCCGCGCCCTGCAGATCACTCACGTATGTGAACTTCTTGTCGGGAGTCGGGAAGATGACGACGGGAATAGGGACGTCAGGCTGCATGGCGTGATGGCGGAGAATCCGCAGCATGTTGGGTGCCACTGCATGCATCCTGAGACCATGCTGGATGCCAGACAAGCGCCACTGCAGGTCAAGAGCCAGGCGTGCAAGCCGATGCAGGACCCCCAGCACCTTGATGTCGGCGGTCTTCGCATTAAAGTCCTTGCAAAAGTCCATGATCTTCAGGCCTGCCTGGCCGAGGGCCGGACCCACAGGGGGGGCTGGCTTGGCTTGGCCGGCATTGATGACTACACGGATTCGTGTGGCAGCAGCCTTCACGGCCTTGGACATGATTCTTGGGCCCCACGCCCCACAGGGGTGGGTGGGCAGGGGGGTGCAGGCGCGCAAGCGTGTGTGTGTCGGTGTGCACCCCTGCGTTCCTGCACTGAATAGAGTCTGGGAGCAATGGGCGCTATGCAGATGGTTGGAATGCAAATAATAATCTCAACATGTAAGGCTCCCTTTCTGTATCGTGACCATTTGTGTAAGGGCGAGACCCAGCGCGAGGCGCGAGCCTGTCCCTCATTGGATACGTGGACCGAAAAGAAACGATGGAGTGACCGTGAAATGCGCGCTGGTCACTCCGAAGGGAGGAGAAGGGCATCTTCCGTAGCAGCAGTGTTCTCTGGGAAAAAACATCGACTATCGGGTGGACACTCTCTTTCAAAGCCAGATCCTCCTCAGTATCACACTTTTCGATTGTAGGGACGAACGCGGAAAGTGCTTGTAGGTGTACATCTCATACGGAAATGGTGTCCTACGCGGAAGATGGGACCCCTATATCGCTACCAGGGCAAGAATTTTGCCGCATGTGAGCTGGTCTATCACCTCAGCGGGTCACTCATTCGCTTGGGAAATCGCTATCCTTTCTGTACGCTTGCCTTGAAGACCTCTGCATGTTCCCGACCGCCCGTGTGCCTGACGTATCTCAAACGTACACGACTGCAGCTCGTGGTTGTGCAAGAAGCGATTTCCGCGAGAGTTGCCTCACAATGACGCTGTCATCGCGGCTAAGGGAGGTGGCGCAAGGCTAGATGTAGACGGCTCCGCGGTGAGCACTCCTGGAGGGCTGGGCTTGAGGGCTTGGTGAGGACATGCCGCTTCCTTGGAGAATTCATACATCCGTGTTCTACCATGCCCGATACGTACCTTGCTGAGCAAGTTCATCCCTTTGCAGGCACATGACGGGACGTTGATTCTTCACCCGCGTCCAAAAGGGGAACTCTCTGCGTCTGATTCCGATGATGAGGGTTTTTTACCCCAGTCAGACAGCTTGACAAAGTGGAAGTCGATCCCGAGATGGAAGCCAGGTGCGTGACTGAGAGCATGCATTGGCAAAGTAGGCCGCTCTAAGCGCTGACCCTGGGCGGTGATCATTGTCAGAGCAGGTGCCAGATACCTTCCTACTATGAATCGCCAAGCCT